AAAAAAAATAATAATAATAATGAAAGGAATTTAAAAAAAAGGGGGTGAGGTGAGGGAAGGAGTGGGAAAAAAATAAAATAAAATAACAATTTTCAATAATTTAATATTTTATTTTTATATGAAACGATAGAATCGCAATTTTGGCGCCGACATTTCTCGAAACACCAAAACTTTTATCGTCGAAAATTAATTAATTAATTTATTTATTTTAAATCCAATCATTTTTACACGAAAAATGTGTTTGTGTTAAATGCAGTTTAAAAAAAAAAAAAAAAAAATGTCTTACGTGTATACGTCACGTGCGAAAAAAAAATTTATAAATTAATTTTTTTTTTTTTTTAAATCGTTTTTCAAACTAAAAATATTCAGGTGTGATAATTTTTTTTTTTTTCACTTGGTTATTAATAATAATAATAATAATAATAGAACTCCCCTCAATTTTTTTTTTTTTTTTTTTGGTGTTTATCGTTACGGTGATGACTTCAAATGCAAAATTATTTATGACGTTAATGTTGCTGTTGATTTCCTTCTCTGGTTAGTTAATGATATTGTTATTTATTATTATTATTATTATTATTATTGTCATGTTTAATAATACTTATTAATGTGCGTTCGATCGAACGCAAAATTTTCTTATTACAAATTAAATACAAAAGATAATTTAAGTGCTGTCGTACCTTCTTAACTCTTTTGCTGTTTATTTACTATTACGACGCACAATTTTCGGTTTTTTTTTTTTGTTGTCACGTTGACGTTGACGTTGACGACGATGACGATGACGATTATGAAAATTTTATTTTTCATACAAATGTATTTTTTTTTTAATTGCGTAATAAAATTATTTTTACGACGTAAAAAGAAAAAAAAAAAAAATTCATTAAAATGTTTTCTTGGAATGTACAAAAAAAAATAAAAATAATAATAATTATTATTATTATCGTTTACGACGAAATAATTATTTATTTTTCTTAATTAATTATACGTTAATTATGCTTTTAAAAATATATTTATAAAAATATTTTTTAAAAAATTAATTAATCATAACTTTATATTTTTTCCCATTGACTTTGGGGTACGTTAAAGTTTTTTCTTAAATTTTCGAAAAGGTTGTGAAAATGAATAAATGGGAAAATACATTAATACAAACAACAACAAC